ATACATATTCCTCTTCGAATATTCTTATATCGGAAAACCCCCCCTGACCCCCCCCCCCCCCCGTACATAAATTCGGCCCTGGGCGCTCCCACCGACGGGAAATTCGATTTTCCTGTTTCGGGCACCCCTCCCGGCCATCCTACACCGCCCGAGCGGGCCCAGGATCGCTTCCTGGACGAACCCGCAAAGCTCCGAGACGGCCCATGAGCGCTCAGAAAGGCCTCAAGGTGGTTTCAAGACGACCCAAGAGGCTCCCAAGACGCTCCAGGAAGCCCCCAGTGAGACCCCCAAGACGCAAAAATCGTTTCATTCCTATAGGAAAACGTACATTTTTATCGTATTCGCTTCTTTGGCCTTCACAGCGTCCAAGACGGCCCAAGAAGCCCCCAAGATCGCCCCAGGATGACCCAAGAAGCCCCCAAAAGGGCTCAAGACGGTCTCAAAGAGCTCCAACACGACCCAAGAGAGCCCCAAGAAGGCCCCAAAGGACCCCAAAAGGCTTCCAAGAGGGTCCCAAAGAAGGCCGCAGGAAGCCCTCAAGAGGGCCCAAGAGAGCCCCAAGACGGCTTGAGCCCCCCAGGACGGCCCAAAAGGGTCCCGGGACGGCCCAGGAAGGCCGCCAGACGACCCAAAAGAGCCCCAAAGGGAGCCCCACGAAGGCCCCGAGATGCCATACTCTTTTCTTTCCGGTTACATGCACCGAGACCAAGCGGGAGGAGGAATGAGACAGGAAAGGCAAGACAGGAGACATGAATCTCATATCCAGTTTCGACGGTCAAGTACTTCACGACTCTACCTCTTCAGACCGTTTTCAGACCACCCGTCCCAAGTTCATCTGGCATCGGAGACCCGTCCTGACCCGCTGCTGGACGTCCACGGCAGCAGCGGCCCACTAACAACAATCGTTCATTCCTGCGTCTCTCTCCCTCTTCCTTTCCCCCCCTCCCCTGCCTTCTGCATCCCTTCCTGCCTCTCTCGCTCCTTCTCTCCACTCCACCTTCCTGCAACCTCTGTCCGTTTCCATTTTGGCTTCAGGACTCTTCGGTCCCGCTTGGGCCGCTTCGGCTCTCCCCGCCATGGCAAAGCGGCAACACCGATCCACCGGCCCTCCTCCAGATGTCCCATTTGACGACTCGATTTTTACAGCGTCATGGGCCGAGCTGTCCGCCTTATGCGGCAGACGCGGACTGTCTGCGCGCGGCAATCGCGCCACGCTCCTCGCTCGACTCGTCCCGCGGTGGACGCCCCCGGCTGCAGGCGAGGCCCCCGCGGGCCCGTCCTTCGCCTTAGCGGAGCTCCACCGCCTGCGGGCGGAGGTCGCCGAGCTGCAGGCGCTGCTCGACACCGAGGCCGCCGGAGACGAAGCTCCCCCCGCAGCTCCTGCCCTTGCAGACGCGGTGGTACCTCCACCAGATCCGGCTCCAGACGAAGCGCCCAAAGCAGACCACAACCACAACGACCTCGCAGACGAACAGGCTTCCTGGGAGCCTCCCGCTGCCTTCGTCGACTTCGCAACGTGTCTATCTGCGGACGCCGCGTCTGCTTCTCCAGTTTGGTCCAGGATCGCCGAGCGAGCTGACGTGAAGACGCTTCTTTACGCAGAGTCCGTGTTGACTTCTGCGTTGGACCGCGACGAAGACATTTTCGGTTGGTTGACTCTCATGCACGTGGCGCCTCGGCGCCGCGTGGTGCTCGCCTTTGCAAAGTGGGTATCCTCCCACGCCGCCACGTTCACCGTGCAAAACGCCATAGACGTCGTCCACCATTTGACTGAGCGCTTCAAGCCCGGAGAGTCGCGGTTCGACACCCGCCGCCCCGTCGGCGGGTTGGCCGTGCTCCAGGAACTCGTGAACGACGACGCCAGCATGGCGGCCCTTCGCCAGTTCGTAGACCACTTCACCACGACGCCGCCTGCCGAATGGCGCCCAAGTGTCCTCCACGCGCGGCTGGAGTCGCGGAAGACGAAGCTTATGCACCTCCACGCCGGGTGCAAGTACCTGCGGGGACACACGGTCCGACAGATCTTTCTTCACGCGGTCCGCCGCGACGACGCCTGCACGTGGGACAAGCCGGACTGGGACGTGATCACCGAGCTCCTCCCAGGGACTTCCGACGGCGCCGCCGAGGTCGGCATCGTCGGCTACGACGACGCCGTCCACGCGATCGCCTACGTCAACTCCATGCTCGGCGAGGCCCCGCCGCTCACGCTGGCCGACCTCAGCATGGCCTTCTGTTTGCGCCCTCGGGCGCCTCGGCCTCGCATCGACCACGACGTCCCGTTGGAGCTCCCTGAGTAGCTTCCTCAACTGCTCTTCCTCTCTGCCACTCTCTCCAAAAACCCTCTCCCCCTCTACCCTCATCCTCCTCCTCCTCGTCTTCCGCTCCTTCCCCTCACGGGCCTGCAGTCATTGAGCTCTGCCAGCCCGCGGCGCCGCGCGAGAGGCCGGCGGAAGGGTACGAGCAGGAAGGCACGAAAGACAACAGAGGAGGAGGAACAATAATATAATGAGGAGGAGGAGGAGGACGAGGAGGAAGAGGACGCGGATCAAACCCCATGAGCCGCATGAGACCCATGAGCCCTACGAGCCCTACGAGCCCTACGAGCCCCGCGCGCCCTACCAATCCATTCAGCCCCGTGAGCTTCCCCAGACCCCCATAATCCCCCCGAGCACCATGAGCCCCATGAGCCCAATGAGCCCTACGGCACTTGGGGCCCTCGAGCCCTACGACTCCCATGGGCCCTACAAGTCGATGAGCCCCCAAAGCCCCACGAGCCCTACGAGCCTTATGAACCCTACGGGCCGTACGGGCCCTCTGGGCCCCACGCGCCCCATGAGCCTTACGAGCCCTACGGGCCCACCCGCCCTACGACCAATATGAGGCCCACGAGCCCCATGACCCTTCTGAGGGCCATCCGCCCCGTGAACCCATGAGCCCTACGAGCCCTACGAGCCTTACGAGCCCTATGCGCCGTAGGAGCCCTACAAACGCCGTAGCCTCTATTAGGAATCCTCCATTAGCCCTGTGACCCCATGAGCCGTACGAGCCCCGCCAGCCCCATGAGCCCTTCTCTCCACAAATCCTCTCCCCATCTACCCCCATCCTCCCCCTCCCGGGCCTGCGGTCATGGAGCTCCGCCGGCCAACGGCGCCACACCAAAAGCCGGCGGGACTGTACGAGCAAGAAGGCACGAAACACAACAAAGGAGGAGGAACAAGACGATACTGAGGAGGAGGAGGAGGAGGAGGAGGCGGATCAGACCCCATGAGCCGTATGAACCCCATGAGCCCTACGACCCCTACAAGTTTTACGAGCCCCACGCACCCTACGAATCCATTGAGCCCCATGCGCCCCCCGAGACCCCCATAATCCCTCCCAGCACGACGAGCCCCATAAGCTTGATGAGCCCTACGGCACTCGGGAGCCCCATGAGCCCTACGACCCCGATGGGCCCTGCGAGCCTATGAGCCCCCAGAGCCCCACGAGCTCTACGAGCCCTGTGGACCGTACGTGCCCTGTGGGCCCCACGCGCCCCATGAGCCCTGCGAGCCCTACGGACTCACACGCCCTACGACCAATATGAGGCCCACGAGCCCCGTGACCCTTCTGAGGGCCATCAGCCCCGTGAACCCATGAGCCCTACGAGCCCAACGAGCCCTACGAGCCCTATGCGCCATAGCCTCTATTAGGAATCCTCCATTAGCCCGGTGACCCCATGAGCCGTACGAGCCCTACGCGCCCTGCAAGCCCTCTGAGATTTCCGCGCCCCATGAACTCCAGGAGACCTTTGACCCATACGACCCTTATGAGCCCCATCAGCCCCGTGAGCCCCATGGGCCCTACGAACCCATTGGGCCCCATGAGCCTTCCGAGCCCCATAAGCCCTCCGAGCACCATGAGCCCCTTGAGCCCTATGAGCCCTACAGGCCCTGGGAGCCCTATGAGCTCACGACCCCCATGGGCCCTCCGAGTCCATGAGCCCCGAGAGACCCAAGAGCCCCACGAGCCAAACGACCCCTATGAGCCCTACGAGCCGTACAACCCCTGCGACCCCCACGAGCCCCATCAGCCCCATGAGCCCTACGGAGCCCACGAGCCCTACGACCAGTATGAGCCCCACGAGCCCCAAGACCCCACTGACCCCTATCAGCCCCGTGAACCCATTAGTCCTACGAGCCCTGCGAGCCCTACGCGCCCCAGGAGCCCTGCAAGCCCCGTCCGCCCTCTAAGCCCTATGACCCCCACGGGCCCTGCGAGCCCTACGAGCCCTCCGAGCCCTACGCGCCCCATGAACCACTGGACACCTACGACCCGTATGAGCCTCATGAGCCCCATCAGCCCCGTGAGCCCCATGGGCCCTACGAGCCCATTGAGCCCCATGAGCCTTCCGACACCCCATGAGCCCCATGAGCCCTATGAGCCCTACGGGCCCTTGCGACCAAGATTTTAAAGGCGAAGCGCAGCGAGCCGGTAAAATCTTGTATATATATATATATATATATAGATACATATATATAGATATATAAAAGCATATATGAAATCCAGGAAATGATGCCAGCGCTGCAGCGGGAACACGATTCGGAACGAGCGGAAGCGCAGAAAAGAAGCCAGCGCTGCAGCGCGAGCACGATTCGGAACGAGCGGCAGGTCGAAAATGAGGCCAGCGCTTAGCGGGAGCGAGATTTTGCAAGAAACGCAAGCGACAACCCAGTTCCCGGGAATCCTGTGTAAAACACCGTGCGCGAATGGGGGCCGAATTTCTTCCGGACGTCATCCGGGGAGAGAGGAGAGTAGAATTCATATGGTGTAATTATGGAGGAGGAGGAGGAGGAGGAGGAGGAGGAGGAGGAGGAGGAGGAGGAGGAGAGGAGGGGAGGAGGGGGAGGAGGAGGAAGAGGAGGAGGAGGAGGGAGGAGGAGGAGGAGGAGGAGAAGAGGAGGAGTGAGGAGGAGGGAGCAGGAGGATGAGGATGAGAAGGAGGAGAAGAGGAGGAGAGGAGGAAGAGGATTAGGAGGGAGGAGGAAGGAGGAGGAGGAGGAGGAGAGAGAAGAGGAGGAGGAGGAGGAGGAGGAGGAGGAGGATGAGAGGAGGAGGAGGAGGAGGAGGAGGAGGAGGAGGAGGAGGAGGAGGAGGAGGAGGAGGAGGATGAGGAAGAGGAGGAGGGAGGAGGATCCGGTCGCTCTGAGCGGGTGAGCGTCCGGCGTCCCGCTCACGCCCGCGGCCGCGGGCGCGCCCGGCCGAGCTCGGCCGTCGGCGGGCCTCCTCACAGGCCTGCGCTGGGGTCGCGGGCATAGGCCCCACCCCCGTCGGGTTCCCAAGCCGACGCACTCAAACTGAGGTCGCCGAACTCCTCGGAGGGTGTTCCTGGACTCGCGGCGAAGGCCCAGCCCCGTCGGGGCAGTGGTCTCCACACTGAGCGACATGCCCGTACCCGAACTGCCTGTGGGCTCGCGGCGAAGGCACAGTCCCGTCAGCTCAGCGGGTCCCACACTGGCTGACATACCTGTACCCGAACTGCTTGTGGGCTCGCGGCGAAGGCCCAGCCCCGTCGGCGTAGTGGGTCCCACACTGGCCGACGTGCTCGTACCTGAACTCCGTGTGGACTCGCGGCGAAGGCCCAGCCGTGGGTCCCACACTGGTCGAACTACCACTGCTGCCCGCCTTCTCCTTGCCAGTGTCGTCCTTGAACATGCTCATCTTCACACTGACCTTCGGGGAGATGATGAGCGCCAACTTCTTCTCCAAGCGCGCTGGAGCCAACTTGCCCTTCGGCCCTGCATTGCACCCTTCCTTCCCAAAGGCCGAGGGCTTCGCTGCTGCGGTGGCTCCACCAACCAAGCACGCAACCATCGGCATAGCCTCAGCCAGCTCCGCGCCGCGAAGGGGCTCCAACCCAACTAGTACGTGTGCCTTGCTGCCCAACTGCTTGTTCAGCCGGGGCACCGATGCGATACTACTGCCTGGACGCTCGGAGCTCCTCGCTGGCACCTTTCAGTACACCCCCCCGACCGCGGCTATCCGCATCGCAACCCCTTCAAGCAAGTCATGGGCTTAGCGAAGCCGAGCACGACCATGAGCCGAACTCCTACCTGAAGATGCTGCACTCTTAGGTGTCGTGTCTGCTACCTTGTTACCATACCAATCGCGATTGCACAAACCATGTCCGCCTGCCGGCATATTCTTTCTTTTTGCTAATATCGGCGGCCATCTTCACAATCGTAAGCCCTGCGGGTCCTAGCCCTTCGAATTTATCAAGAAGTTGCCAAACATGCTGTCTCAAGTTTGCCCAGGCGTAGCCACGAGCTGTGGTGCGCTCAGGTCCGTGACCGGTCAAACCTTCGACCACGAAAGAACTGTCGGGCATTGCCGCCAGAGGTGGAAGAGCGTGCTTGAGGGCGTGGACCAGCGCGGCTAGCTCCCCCCCATTCATGTCAACGAAGGGGGCACTCAGGACACCCGAGATGCCTCTGTCAAATTCCTCCTTCGTCGTCTTCAGCGCTATCACGGCCCAACCGACAGACGTGTACTTCTCGACGTCTCCTTCATTGACTGAGTCATCTAACTGCAACGCTCCTGGTGGCAACCATCCATCTGCATTGTCTCCAAACCAGCATGCTTGATCTGATCGAGGCGGGATGTTGATATCCCTTGGTTCAGGCTACAACCCACGTTATACTAGGCTAGTCGGAGATCGTCTGCTTGCTGTGCTAAGTGCGCTATCTTGCCAGGCATCTCCAGCTCGGGTAGCCATGCCTCACATTCACAATGTCGGTGGAAATGGGTGCCCATCTTTCCACACTTGAGGCAGAGCGGGTCAATAGCATATCCACCATCGTACTTGCGACTCTGCGCCCGCTGCCCACGTTGCACAAGAGATTCGAGGTACCCTTTCTCCTTCGCTTCCAGCCTGATCGACGTCATGAGCCGCGGGGCCCCCTCCTCGCTCATGCCTCCGGACTGTCCCGACCCGACTCCAATACTGCCCTCTGGCCCCCTGCCCCGAGGTGCGTGGCCGCAGCCAAGCATTGAGGGTGGAGTGCCCGCCGAGGGGCCAGCGGCCACGGAGCCGCCGCGGGCGGCCAGGTTGGCTGGCTCGTCTTGTCGGTCCCAGGGCATGCGAGGCTCCGCCCGTGGCTGCACCCGTACTAGTCGGCGACGCCAGCTCAACTCTGAAAACCATCTTCCAAGAACCCTCCCGCGTCCTCCACGTCCGTGCCCTGCCTTCTGACGGCGAGTGAGCCCGTCGCTCCTGCCCCACCGTCCGCTGCTTGATGATGACTTGCTGCGCCCATGTCCGATAGCGGTCCAAGCAAGTTCTTGAGTACATCTGACCATTCGGTACCCATGTCCTGTCTGAGGCCATTCGGCATAGCATGTGTTGGTGCAACGGGTAGCTGGTAGCTAGGCTCCAACCCAGTCTCATGTAGCATCTGCATAGGCTCCCGCAACCCAGCCACGGCTCCACCTGCTTGGGGATGCCCCGTGCCAGCAGCAACCTCGGATCTGCTGCCTGCGTCCACTGCTGGAGTATTCCTGGGCCTTGGCTGCGGTCACGCGCCTCCTGGGATACACTGTTTGCCGAAAGGACCTGTCCGTTCAACTGTGCCGCTGCTCGTGAGCCTCACCAATGGCTCTACAGTCGGGGCCTTGAAGAAGGAACCCTTCTCGTTGGGAAGAGGCTCCGTGTTCCTCGATGGTTTTGCAGTTTCCCTTAGGTTTTCCATGGGGGATTGAAGTTTAACTTAGGGGAAAAAGGGGCCTCGTTCCTTATTTTGGGTTCCTTAGGTCAAGTCCCCGACTGTAAGATGCCTCCATCTGCTAAGTGTTCAAGGCCATCTGGTGCTCCCACTTGCTGCCATTACCAAAGCTTCGGCTGCACGCCAAAGAAGCCGCGTGACCGCCCAGGGAGAGACTTCACAGACCTTGACATCTGCCTTCTCGTGTGTCCTCCAGCAAGATGGTGTGAGATCTTCCACTGGAGGAGGAGGAGGAGGAGGAGGAGGAGGAGGAGGAGGAGGAGGAGGCGGAGGAGGAGGAGGAGGAGGAACAGGAGGAGGAGGAGGAGGAGGAGGAGGAGGAGGAGGAGGAGGAGGAGACGCGACAGCAGGGCTTCATTCAACAAGAGAACCAAACACAGGAAGGTTAGGGGAAACAGTATCGCGGAAAATCACAACAGGGGCCCTAGACCCCCATCATTCTGCGGCAATGCTTTGAGCCCGATCGATCTGTGAGGGTCCTGGACCCGAAGCTGGGCAACACGCCCAGTGCAAATGTACCCTGACGATGTACCCAACCCCTGCGCAACGTGTAGCCCGGAGAGCTGGGAAGAACTTGCGGGGGTGATACTATGGCAAGGGCTTTTATGAACGCACGTGTGCAACGTGTGCGTCGACACAAGGTGGCTTGCACACGTCTTGCAGAATCGCCATGCCGATTCCCTCGGGGTAGGGGGGCCGTTACAAGGGGGGGGTCCAGTGGCCGGTGCTCTCGTGTCATGGGTGCTGCAGCTTGGCATTGCCGTGTGCACCTCCGTGCCGTTGTATGGTTGTCGCTGCAGCGCGGTGTACCCGTGAAAGGGAGTGAGATCCCAGCCTCCAGGAGGCCAGAGGGGAAACAACACAACATAACAGAAGTTGGATCCGGCACGAGTATGATGTGGACATATTCTAAAATATTTTAGAACATGTCAGTGCCCCCCCCTGCCGGCCCATCCGTAAGATGATGGGCCCTCTCGCACTCCGTTGCCAACGTGGCTCAAGTGCCGCAGTTTCCAGCTCCCGCCGCGTCCCACCCTGGAGCGGCACTTGGGCGGCAAGGCGTGTGTGTGACTTCGAACCAGCCCACCTGGTGTTGGGCGAGGTGCTCCTCAGAGGTTCGTGGACCGCCCAGGGGCACCGAAGGTGTCGCCCTGGGCGGCACAGGGCCAGTGTCGGTTACCATAGTGAGCCAGGTGTGCTCTGTTATTATGGTGGCTCTGGTTACCTGTGCCCCTGTGGTACTGGTGGCTGCCTCAGCCTGTTACTAGTGCGGGGTAGCGTCGACCCAATGTGGTGGCGTTGGGTCGCCTGGTGCGGTTGTCCCGCAGTGCCAGGTGACGCTGTAGGCGTCTTCCCCACGTAGCGCCATGCCTACCGGGGTAGCTTGGTGACGCCGTCGGTCTCTCGGTGGCTTTCGCCACACCGCCGATCCCCCCCGTGTCTCCCCTCGCCCGTGTGCGTGACGTTTGTCATGACGACTTCTGATTTGGTGCGAGCACTATTTGGGAGGCTCGCCAAGCTGCGCGACTCGCAGAGCACCGGTCGATGGACCAGGGCTTGATCCAGGTGGTTGCTTAGTTCCCTGGAGAGTTGCCCCTCCGCGACCCTCGAAAGTGGTAGCGCTTTCCCAGATCGCACCCCTCAAAGGGAACCGCGAGGTCGAATCTAGGTCTGCGTCAGGTGCCCACTATGCTGCCCCCGCAGCGGCCCTCGATCTGAGTTTGGGTATGGCCCCCGCTATGCTGGCGCCCATCAGGAGCTCTAGGAAGTGGCGACCGCTTCGCAGATCGCAGCCCCCCAGGCGTGGCAAGGGCCGATCTGAGCCTGGGTATGACCCCATTGTGCGCGCCCCTAGCAGCCCTTCGAACGTGGCGACACTTTGGCATCTCGCATCCCCCCCCAAAGGGTGACGAGGTCGAATCTGCGTATGTATATGACCCCACTGTGCTGGCCCCCACAGCAGCCCTCGCCAGTGGCTAATGTAAGCCTGGGTATGACCCCACTATGCTGCTCCCCCCCCCAGCAGCTTTTCAAAGTGGCGACAGTTTTGCAGATCGCACCCCCCCCCAGGAGGAGGAGGAGGAGGAGGAGGAGGAG